CTTCATTTCTTTAGATAAACCAAGAAATATTTTCTAATAGTCTTTTTAAAACATAGGATACAAATGTGTGATGATTACACACATTGTGACATACATTAGGGCTGACTTAACAATAGCATTATAACAGATGCATGCTGAAGCAGGCGTACAGATGAACTATTAAATGTTGATCTAAAAGGAACAAAAATGGTTCCTCATGAGAGATATTTTCCATCATCTTCAGTCGGTAATAATAATGGCAAAACAATTGTTGCTGTAAAGATATTTTTGGCCTACCTTCCTGTCAAACTTTTTATAAGCCGAGTAGCACCATCGCAATGTTTTTTATGTTTACCGAAGGAAAACATATTGTTTTTTCTCTGTTTCTTCCTCTTCTTCTTCTCCAAACAGTGACCTCTGATCTGACCAATGACATGATCTGTTGACGTCTGTCACCATGGTGACTGGTGTTGGGTTACATAATGTTGCAATTTCATGGTCTGCTCTGCTCCTGTCACCATATACTTGTAGTACATGTATGTGAATGTGTTTGAGTAAGAATTAACAGAGCAGACCATGTCCGAAGGTAAACATTATGCATTTGCTTTGCAAATGTTACTTCTCTAGTTATAGTTTTTTTTACATCCCAACAATGAGTATTACGAAAAAGATAACGCCCCAAAAGACCTTCCTTCGACAATGCGTGATGTTGACTAAGCATCTGTCCCCACATAACTGACATTTCATGGACCTTACGTCGAACCTGATAAATACTAGCGTGCGTTTGCTCCAAGTATGAGCGAGTAATACATCACCAGCCGCGGGCCCCCAGTCCCTTTAGACAAAATCCCAATTTTTCTGCCCATATTTCTCAGTTACGGCTTCATCAGTGAATATTGAAACATGATCCGCACAATGCAGGTATCTAATATGAAATTCCGATATCGCCTGGTCGGGACATTCATTTACATTAAAGTCTGACAACCGAGAACTTGATTCCGCTTGTTGGAGTGGAAATAATGAGAAATCTGAAGCCAGGCAAATCTTTAATCTGTTCCCTTTTAATCCTTGGAGCCGAGCCATTTATTTCATGGAGTAAATTGCACCGATTTAGTATGAGGGGATGAAGTCTCGCGGGACGTAGCCAAGTCTCGCGGGACGTGGCCAAATCTCGCGGGACAGTTTCTCGCGTGAATTGAAGGTGTACTGAAGCGGGATTTGGCGGGATTTGTGACGGATGGCGGGACCACACAGGCCGCCTCTCTGTCGTCTTCTATCACGTTATACACACCTAATGGCTGACCTACTGCCTTGTAAAACTTCAATTGTTCAAGCACCCTGGTGAGCTCGCAGCAAAAACTACTGATCCGCTGAAAAGCTAATTTTACTTCTGAGTGAGGCAATGTGTGTCTTTATTACCAATAGTAAATATAGGGTTATTACTCGTAACAACCGGCTAGATGGTGCTGTTTTCGTCTGAAGGAAAATAAATTGTCTAAAAAATCAATGTGCTTTTGAATACGCAGTTACATACTGAAGTATGAAAAGAAAGACAAATACGGTGTTCAACTGTTATTTAATGAATAGCTGTGTCAAGCACATGCTGATAAGAGGGAAAATCGTTAGCATATCTGGATGTCTCTTCGAGAATTACATATCTAATTATGAACTATGAAACGCCATACATTTTTCCATAACATACAAGCAACCCCTTTTTGGAGGCTACGCTACGATTATTATGTTTACCTTCGCAGAAGGAAACATATTGTTTTTGCCGCATTTCTTCTTCATCTTCTTCTCCAAACAAAATCAGTTCAATGGCCAGAACCAGACGTCTGTCACTATGGTAACTATTGCTGGGTTACATCATGTTGCAATTTTACAGCTAGAGGGATTTAAACTCCTCTCACAATATACATGAATGTGTTTGAGGAGGAAAAATTAGCAGAGTATACAATGGGCGAAGGTAAATATTATGCATTTGCTTTGCAAATGTTACCTTTCTAGTCACCTGGTAAATACGATTCACGGATACCCTTCAAGGGAATGCCAAAGACCTGAACTTTTGTCTAGTCAATGAGTACAAACTCCTCTTTAGAACCTCTTGATCCGTAGTTAGATATTATGTCTATTTCTCTCCTCTGCTTCAAATGCCAGAAACTCCCAGTCGTACAATGTACCAACTTTAGGCCAATAGATCTGACGGTGGATTGATCAAATTTATTTCGGATTGCGTGTCACTGGAGAGGAAAAGAGCCCGCAGAGCTGTCTGAAGATCTGTCACTCAATTGAGCGAAACAAACGCGTGCATCTCGGCTTAATGATGACATGCGCATTAGCCATGTATCAATGATTTTCGACGCCAAGGGAAATACTGTGTGCGGTGGAGGAGCGTTTGCGTTAACTCGATCAGACTTTGGGACAGTGGAAAGTCCTAAGCAAGGGCTTTAGAACGTCCCTTTGGAGACCATGGTAATTCTATGATGAGCACGAGAGAGGTGGGACTAATATGCTGTTTATGTCAACAGCTAAGAGGGCATCATTCCTGTCTATACTGATCTTTTACAGGCATCACATACACAGCAAATGCAATTGGGCATATAAATGCCAATACCTTATACTTGACAAAATATTAGAATGCTTCCACACATCAAATAAGAAAGGGAATCACATCAAATAAGAAAGGGAATCACTCGGAACTAAGTACTTTAAAAACAAACTCTGGACATGATCGACAATACTTGATAAATATTCGATGACAGCTACTTAGTAAAACTGTACGAGTTCAATAGAATTGTATTGACAATGTAAATATAGTGCACAATGTAATTATAGTAAACGCATGACGACTAGGCCAGATTGCATAGCTTGTTACCGTTAGGCCGCAACATCTGTTATGTAATAGTATGTTTATCTGAAGTGTAACCGACACTGTTAACTGTTACCTGTTCCGAATTGTTTATGTTCTTGTTGTGGGGCTAGCCCTTTATAATAGCCTCCGGCTAGTTGGGCAGTCCTGGCTGTATACATATGTCTTATACAGTCTAATAAATCAAACCAAATCAACTAAGTGCGGCCCACACCGATACTTTTATGGCATAACGTGACTTTTGATATTTCAAAAGTGACTCGCCACCATTTGACGTGGTTATGGGCCTGTCACTGTTCAATATACTTCGAAATCAAGTTGTCAGTACAGGTTAATGTGCTGTGGAATGGATCTGACATGATCTCTACAGCGGTAAGATGGCATGATGTGCCGAATGCCGTATAACAATGTCTTTGTCTTGGAAGTTTATCTGTGTTGGTAGAAATCATTATGAAGCAAGTTTAAACGGCAATTTCCAACACAACAAATTGGACTCACCCAAATTTCAGTCTCACTGGACAAAATAAAAATCTTGGACACAGAACTGGACTTATTTGCACGAGGGATTAAAAAGACCATCTACATCAGGGCATTACAACCATCCCTCAACAGAGACGGGGGGCGCCACAGACTTTCTGCAACCCACTGCTCACGGAGTCACGTGTGTTATCTGCGTGACGTCACGGAAGCGGTGGATTGTTCATTCCTTGACAAAGACTGGAGTTGGGTGAGTCCAATGTCTTGTGTTGGAAATTGCAGTTTAAACTTGCTTCAGAACAATGTCTTTGGGTAATTTTGAACAGATCCCTTTTTGCTTGGCCGTACTCTTAAATACGAAAGTCGACCTGTTTTACAGTAGATTTGTCGCAACAACAAATATTGTTTCTCTGTTGTTGATTACGTTTGAGATGACTAAAATTTGGAACAACTTAAGTCTTTCTACGACAAGTGTCCCTCATTACTTCAAATTCTACTTCTTCTTGCATTCAGCATGTATACATGTCTGGTAATCAATTGTCATAATCTAAAAAAAAATAAGCAGTCCTTCTGACTATGCCAGTATGCCTTAACATGAGACAGAAGAAATAACATTATAAGACTTGCCTGTATGATATTACAGCTCTAAGACTTGGGATCATGAAATGATCGAAAGGCAAGCTCCAGAAACTAGATAGGACAATCTAGCGAAAACTAGGTCAGCTGGCACAGAACGGTTCCGTGTAATAAAATCTTCCCGGTTTATTACCCGAATCCGGGGCAGGGGAATATTATTGCGTGCGATGCTTACTTTTTGTGACCTATATGAAGAACAAAGTTGCTCTGCAGCTACACTCATTGCTTGGCAATAGGCTCTGTGCTTCCAAACTAAGGTAATTATTTTGTTTGTTTGTTTATTGTTTGTTTATTGTTTTTGCACTTACAAATAAAACAAAATATATATATATAACAATTGAGAAATAGATGGAGGGCCGGAAACCTGGTGGTTTATCTTAGGCTCTCCCCAATACTACAGAATTAAAAGATAAATTACCATTATCACTAGATAAACCAAATTTGAAACAAAGAAAACAATAACAGCAGGAAATAAACAAAAACAATTCAAAGAACCAATATATAATGCAAACTATCCATCTAGACAAATAAAGAGATATCAAACTAGTTATTACAATCATCGGTACAAACATAAAGTATATGAGGAGGTAGTAAAATCAACAAATAAGGGAAGCAAAGCAAAATCAGGAAATAGTGGTTGGTTGAAGTATGATATCTTTTATTAAAAGTTTTTTGAAACTGTGTAATGAGGGACAGTTATTCGGCATTAATATAAGTTGAAAAAAACTTGAGTGTGCCGTCACCACGTCTGTTTTCCCTGCCACCCCGCACATCTGTTTTCCCCGGAAGTTCTGCTGCAGTACCAAGGTCAGTCACCAGTAGGCCCATATTTGACCTTGACCTTTGGCTTCCTAAGACCTACCGGCATACCAAATATCATCACAATCCATAAAGGCGTTCTGAAGTTATGCTGACTACAAATGTGCGGAAACACACACACGCATACACATACACCGACGCGCCAAAAACAATACCTCCATTTTTCATGGAGGTAACAATCTTAAGTACTGTTTTGTGTAGTAGAGATTAAAGATCATACCTAATACTGTAGAGGATGTCGCCGGCGGGTGAGATTCTCAGGAGTTTGTTTTCTGTCGTCACTCGGTGGAAGTTTGCCCCCTTCTCGTTCGCGAAGAACAAGTCAGGAACCCAGATCTTCGCCAGCAAACTCGTGTCGAGACTCAAACTTTCGTTATAATCCATAAACTTCAGTCTCGGGTCGTTCCAGCGCTGTCTCAGGAAAATGTTCACCCGGTAATCCTGAGTGCAACAAAAGGGACGGGGGAAGTGAGTTTAAACGAACCGTTACTAAACGTGCAACCAGGTGTGACCGAAATGAAAGCCCACGAGGCAAAAATTGCCGCGCAAATTGCGCAGAATGGGCTCCCCGTGTACCGCGGCACGCTCTGCGATCGCTTTTGATCATTTGACGGCAAATGTATGCAATACGTTCGGCACACGGAATACTGATTACCTCCAAAGCAGCTGACTCGGAAATTGTACTATTAACACAAGCCTGTATAATACCTACGGCAGCAAATTTTTCTACTTTGTTTAACACTCTGTTGTAATTTTCACCGTACACTTTTTTTGTATATGCCTAAATGAAGTATTGTTACTTCTGGGGATTGAATATTTCGACTCAGAGATTGTACTATTAACACAAAGCTGACATATATAGGTATAATACCTGCGGCAGAAAATATTTCTACTTCTACTTTCCATACCTGTAGGTGCATTCTGTCTAGTGACAGAACGTAAATTTTTATTATTTGATAACGCCTGAAGTACTTTTCACATCGGGTTATCATAACCAAATATGTTTTTAATATTCCGTTGTAATTTTCACTTTATACCTTTCTGTATATGCCTAAACGAAGTATTATTACTTCTGGGGATTTAATATTTTGACTCAGAGATTGCACTATTAACACAAGCCTGTATAGCACACGGCAGCAAATATTTCTATATGATTATAGATTATCAGAATTGATCTTCTGTCTCATCGTTTGAATACACACATGCTTGTTCCATGTACACGGTTTCAATTGTTATTTTGTATGAGAAACAGCCGTTATTTTCAGATGTATCCGCAAATACAGCAAGAACGATTGCTGTCCGGACGTTAACCTCAACGACTTGACTTTAAATTCGACAGTTCCAGTCCGATATTTCTTCTTGCTAGGAGCCCCAGGTGCACCAAAGCACCAGAGGTCGATTCTGCAATAGTCATATAGAGGTGAACTGCTATAATGTTGTTTCTTCCTGACTGGGGAAAATATCTGAATTCCAAATCTCGTGAGCATGAACTAGTGTCCACCAGACTCTTTGCAGGTTGAATTAATAGTAGAAATCTAAAATTTTGAATATCGAGTCCTTTAGAAAACTAGTAATTTTGTATCAAAAGACAATACCTGATTGCGTCTCAGAGAGGGAAGCTGGAGAGGCATCGGGGTAAGTGGGGTACCTTATGTAAGGCTTATTCATAGATATTACTTTATGTATTAGTCATTCAATGTCAATGCTAATGTACTTTACTTTATGTATTGGTCATTTAATGCTTATGGTCCATTATGGAGGCTCTATGTCTATGTGAATGTTTGCTTATAGTGAAAATGAAAAAAGAAAAGAAGTGACAAACTGAAAAAAAATGGTAGAAATCGACCTAAAAGGAATTTAGCTGGCCAGGGGAGTTGGCTTTGTATTCCTGTGGTTTAGTAGCATTTTTATTTTTGGCCGGAATTTATTTTTTTATTCGCCCGCGCGCACTAGTTTGGGGTTCTTCAAAGGATGCCATCCATAAAATTAAGCCTGTGTGGCCTAATACTAGACAAAATGCACATGCAGGTATGTTAAGTACGCCCTTGCGTGATACGTACATATACTGATCAATTGAAAGATTTACCGCCCAAAGCTCGATATGGTACGCTATTCAAAACCGATATTTCTGTCGTTACATATGATAGATCGTTCAAGTGTAATGAGTCAACACATCAATCAGAGTGTTCCTCACGCGTGCCAAAATTGATCTGCAGACCCTTGTTCTTTCTAAATGATGAATGATCTACAGCAAAAGGAGGCTAATTAAATTCAATGGGCTTTTCATAATCTTCAGCCAATCGAGGAAAAAAAAACTACAATGTTTGAGGAGAGACACACCTCAAGCACGTTAAAGAACCCACGTGAGCGGAAGTGGAACAAACCATTATGGTCTAAAAAGGGGTAGGGAATGTTCCCGACCAGCCTCGTAACCCCTGCTTCTCCTATTGGGTCAGTTAGTCCTCACTACTTGTGAGGATGTTTCTGACTCAGGGAGAAGAGTTGCTGTTACAGTTACAGGCTAGCTCTATGCCTAGAAGTGGCCAATGGCCTTGCATTGAGCGACACCGTTAAAAAAAATTGATTTACCCCAAAATAGTCGAAAACCCCTTGTTCTTTCTAAATGATGAATGATCTACAGCAAAAGGAGGCTAATTAAATTCAATGGGCTTTTCATAATCTTCAACCAATCGAGGTAAAAAAAGCTGCAATTGATTTACCCCAAAATAGTCGAAAAACCCTTGTTCTTTCTAAATGATGACTGATCTAAAGCAAAAGGAGACTAATTAAATTCAATGGGCTTTTCATAATCTTCAGCCAATCGAGGTAAATAAACTACAATTGCTTTACCCCCAAAATAGTCGGAAACCCCTTGTTCTTTCTAAATGATGAATGATCTACAGCAGAAGGAGGCTAATTAAATCCAATGGGCTTTTCATAATCCTCAGCCAATCGAGGTAAAAAAACTGCAATTGATTTACCCAAAAATAGTCGAAAAACTCTTGTTCTTTCTAAATGATGAATGATCTACAGCAAAAGGAGGCTAATTAAATTCAATGTGCTTTTCATAATCTTCAGCCATTCGAGGTAAAAAAAACCTGCAATTGATTTACCCTAAAATAGTCTAAAGTTAGTTATCCTAATCATGAAATAAGATGCAAGACAATCCGTATTTCGGGGGGGGGTGCATCTGGTTGAATGAAAAGTTGTGTAGCATGCTTGCTTACACCATCTACCTCCATAGCGTTGCAAAGACTAATCCTCTCTTGATTTTGGCCAGCGACGAAGAAAATATGTGCACAGCATGCATGTATTCTCTCTTCTCATTCGTAATCCACATCCACAATCGTAAAAGTTATTTTTCCATGTTCTTTGTGCTTTTGGGGAAAATACTATTGATACAAAGTTAGGTGAACTGAATTCCAGATAAAGGAAATATACGATGCAATGCATTCAGCTTCAACTAGCGTCAATTCCATTGTTGCTAAAGTGAAAATAGTTGGTTCTACCTCCATGGTTGCAAACATAGGTTGCAAAACCGTTCAGCAAGTGATTGTTCATACGTCGGTGAAGGTTAGACATCCAAATACGCACAAAAAAAACAGTTACTCAAGCAACTGGATACGGTTTTGGAAACGGTCAGACGTTTCAGCTAGTATCCACTAGCTTTCGTCAGTGACACTGGAGAGTTGTCAGAAAAGCAGGTTTATATAAGAACGAACTTATTTGATTGAAGTCATTCATATTTGGTAGAAAATCATAGAGGAATTGGTACCCGTTTTTTGGACTTAAAGACATTCAATACAATTTCTGGGCGGCAAAACTGGAAATATTCTGAATAAGGCAATCTGTATAATATTGACACATACTGTCCCGCATTAGCACATTTGAATCATTTTTTTCCTTAGGCATTTAAAACAAGCTCCAAGATTAGTCCTTTATTTTCTGGATGGTACCCTTAAAATCAACCCAGGTCCTTCCAGTAACCGTTTTTCGTCAGATATTTTTTGCATTTTGCTCCATGAATGTCAATATACATTGGGACAGTGTTGATCCAACTTAAGCCCTAAAAACTGCACTTGATGCTTTGAACAGAAAGATTCTTATTCATGGTGTCGAAGATGTTTTGACATGACAGACCACTGATTGTTGAACTGGTGTATATTTTTTGTACCATTCGCACGTTAGAATTGCATCAAGTGATAATATAATGTCAGGACGGTTGGTGAGATGGATGGATGTCCTCATGTGATCGGACACCACGGGCATGTTGATATCCACCCAGGACCCAGGATAATGTGATTATCCGGTCACACGAGCTGTCTTATCGCTTACCACATACAGTGAGGTTGCCTAGATCGGCGGGAGATAATACTAAACTAGTCCCGCCTAATGCTCAGTCAGACCCCGCTGCACTCGTGCTATAGACTCCGTGTCTACCTGGGTGGGAGGGAGTCAGATCGGTAATTAATCATATCTATCATAATTCATATCTGCTGCATCAGCTATTAATGCGATAGTGTGACAGGGATCGTCTGCAAACCGTTTGTAATTTGGCTGCTTCTCACACTGCCAGGGGTCGTGTCAAAAGCTCAGTGTTCATTGCTTTCCTTGAAATAGCGAAGCACTTTAGGCCACAGCAGGTAATCTTTACGGATGACATCAGCGCGTGCATTAATTTTTGCCTGATTTTGAAAAAAAAAAAATTGTTGCCCTCTGACAGTGGTCAACATGCCGAAAATGGGCAAAGATGTCTGTTGCCATGCCGGAACGTGGATGGCAGATAACTATTAAGAGAGGAGACAAGAAAAGGTTCTGATTTATTGTTTTGCCTAAGTTACTTTGATGCAGTGATGCGTTTCATTCCTTTTATATGTGATGTTCACTGACTTAAAATCATTTATGCAATGATTGAAAACTTCAAAGTTGTTTCAGTGAGAAATTGATGTTGTAATAGTTGGCAGTAAACATAGCACAATATAGGTATCATCTCTTGTTTAATAAAGTTTATGATGTCAACAAATGTAGGAATCTTGTTTTTTTTTGGCCCGCCTTGTTTTTTTTCGCCCTATCTTATTATATTTGGACTCTGCGGAGGATGTCATACATAAAATTTACTTGCTGTAGCCTTAGCTCCAGATTCCATTTCCCCCATTTAAGTTCTGGCAAGTTGTTTTCCCTGTCCCCAAGGAATTAATTTGCAAATCAACATGAAGACAGGATTAAGGTATTACATGTTAAGAACATTAACGCGCGGAATGACCCCAATGGCCGCTTTAAGTGAATGAACCACCAAACCCTTAAGAATTAGGATTAGGTCTTATGGTTCTATTGAGACGATATCAAACCACGTAGCCAACATGAATGGGTACGATGAATGCGGTATACATTAAGGAGACATGTCAAATGGGTGTAAGTTATAAGTGCCAAGATCTTGTACCAGAGTTAAGTCTCATAGGCCACAAAGATGCCTTTAAAGGCATCCAATGCGATTTCAGAGCAGCAAAACTGGAAATATTCTGAAGAAGGCAATCTCTATGATATTGACAAATGCTGCTTCACATTAGCACATTTCATACTTTGGGTTTTAAAACTGCAGAAACAAGCCCCAAGATTAGTCCTTTTTTTTCTAGGTGGTACCCTAAAAATCAGCCCAGGGCCCTTCCATTAACCGTTTTCTGTCAGCATTTTGGGTATTTTGCTCCATTAGGGTCAATATACATTGGGATATTGTGGTTTCAACTCAGTATGTAGATAAATGACTAGAATATTGGCTTTGAAAAATCGGGTTTCCTAGCCCTAAAAACTGCACTGTGTGCCTTTAAGATCTCCCCATGTCATTGTCGAATATATAGCTTGTATTGCGTAAATAAACGCCAAAAGCAAAGTTCGTGTTATCTTTCATGTGAGTGTTGTGAGACTTACGTAACGGGCTCTTCGGCTAAACTGACTTGGTGAAAGTGCCTCGGTCAGATGGGTTCAAACTGATATGTTATGTAATATATAGTAGAGGGGATTCATTCCTCAAGCTAACCGACATCTCGCAAACAGCAGTCGTCCCTCAGTAAGACATCTAGAGCCGGAGACATGTCAAATGAGTGTAAGTTATAAGTGCCAAGACCTACCAGAGTTAAGCCTCATAGGCCACAAAGATGCTCTTAAGATCTCCCCATGTCATTGCATATTGTTAAATATAGAGCTTGTATTGCGTAAATAAAAGCCAAAGTTCACGTTATCTTTCATGTGAGTGTTGTGAGACTTACGTAACGGGCTCTTCGGCTAAACTGACTTGGTGAAAGTGCCTCGGTCAGATGGGTTCAAACTGATATATTATGTAATATATAGTAGAGGGGATTCATTCCTCAAGCTAACCGGCATCTTGCACACACAGTCATCCCTCAGTAAGACATCTGGAGCCGCATAGTTCCCGTTTAGAACTTTTATTCAGCCTGTCACACGACCGGTTTCGCCTGTGTGGCTTCTTCAAGTGTACAGAGAGCCAATTAGATATAGGAGGTTAACACGTAATCTTAATTTTTAAATAAATTTGTTAGCATTAGCATTTTTTAATGTCTTGGGGTGGTGGGACTACGGCGCACTGATATGTCAACCTTGTGTATTTAAATGTTAATTGTACTTTTTTGTTGTGTGGCGCTGTTTATATAATTTATACGCTTGAGTGCAGCGCCACACTGCCCTTGCTATGTTTTGATGTCTTAATGAATAAAAAAAGTGTACAGAGGCTAAATGACACAGGTTCATGACATTTGACATTTTGAAATTTAATTTATGATATACAAATAAAAGATTTTTACTCACCATTGTAGTTTCGGCGATTGATCCAAAGCTGTTCACAAAGATGTCTACAGACACGTTCACAGCATCGCCTGAAGAAAACAGCAACGAAAGTGAATATAATATAATATAATATAATATAATATAATATAATATGATATAATATAATAATAGTACATAAACTGGTTAATGACAAGGACACACCAAGTAATTTGTATGTATGACGTCCCCTAGAGACCACAAATCTAATGCGAGAGCGCGAAAAAAAGAAGGGCTGAAAAAAGCAAGATGCCTAGATTTGAAATATACTAAGGGACAACAAATGTTAGGACACATATCGAATGAGAGAACACAATGTAACAACCAACAAATCTTTTATTCGTCATGAAAACAGAAAAAAAAAAAACAGTGGAACAGCAGTTGCCGTCCTGCCCTGTTTCTTTCCTTTCATCACATCTTCCCTTATCCCACTGACGTGACTCTTTTGTCATAGCTACAAGAAGCGGACTTTTTTTCTGGAAACAGGCCAAAATCAATGCGCGCGCTGACGTCATTATAAAAATTACTTGGTGTTTTCTAAACAAAGGATTTTTTCATGAAAGACGGTGCGTAGTTGTTTACCAAAACGACATCAAATAACATGTAATAAGTTGCCTGAGCTATTCGCCTTTTCAGGATATGTGCAGATGAGGGATATACCCTCACAGTGCTATCAAATAACCCCCAATCGATCGTGCTACGTTCCCGGAGAATTCCCGGAATAAGCTTGCTTCCGCGCCAAGACAAGGTACCGCGAAGAACGTTCCTGTCGGTGGAAATATCTTCTGTAAAATCTCATTTTTTTTGCTAAACGAATTTGCTTCCTTGCATAGTATTGCTGTCTGAGGTATAAGGAGGGGTGATAGTTTATTCAATTATACAAGATATCGTTGTCAAGAACTGATATCAAGAGATCTATCATTTGCACGCAGTGCAATTCTTCCAAGGGATCTAAGTGCTTGATATATTTTCAAATTCAACTATGATTGCTGAATGTGTCACTAACATAACGTTCGTGGAATTGAAGCAGTGTAATGATAATCTAGCTCGAATATCTGTTTTTTTCTGCCTCTGGAGTTTTGCCAGAAAGTTTGCGTCGTTCGTTCGCACTGGTAATACAATGTATCATGGACAGGGATATTTTTGATCTGGTTTTCGCATCGACACGCAGTCGAAACGATGCAGAGACCAAACCCCCCTCCCACACATATTCAACTTGCAGATGTTGTAGTACTGTAGACCCTGGCTGCATGTGCATTAGACTAGTAGCTAGAACCCACAGCATTACAATACTAAGGCCACACCAATTTAATTTGTTGGTTCTCGGATTCGCCTCTTCTTTTTTTTCTGATTTGCAAAAAAAAAAAAAGATTCTGGTTCTAGATCTAAACCAACTCAAACAGTTGAGGGAAGTCCTTTCCTTCCTAGTTATTACGGTTTTTCCATCTATCAATGCAGTGGTTTGATTAAAAGTTCAAAATTCATTGTTTAAATATTAACTTAGCCTTTTGTATTGACTTCATGGCTCCTATTGTAGCATTTGTGGTTATGATAGGATACCTAGACCTGTTTTTATTTTTTATTTTTTTTTCGCCCTGTCGCTTCATATTTTTCTGAAAAAATACGAGAACCAACAAATTAAATTGGTGTGGCCTAAGGATAGCCATTTTCCGGAAGGCATTGGATTCACATTATGTTATATTACATATTCAAGGTTTCTCATATGCAGCCATTTCGTGCATTATGTATGCAACAACTTCCCCGTAAGCTATACATTTCCGTTGTCGCTCCAATCGATATATGTTATCGAAAATAAGGGTAGAGTTATAAATTCAAGCCTCAGGCGATATTATCAATAAACGTGTCTTTTATCACCTAAAGGTTATTGGGTCGTGTAATTATAAGTGAAAAAGTCTGGCATATTTGAAGAGATTCAAGATTCAAGATGGATTTATTAGTTTTTCGCAGTTAAAACAAAACTAAATTGTAAACCAATTTACAAAACATCGGTACATTATAACTACAGGTTTGCATTCTAATATACGTTATATATGCGCAAGATTAACAAACCAATAAAAATATATTTCATACTAAAAATATTAAAATATTAAAAACATATTAAAGATATTAAAAACGTATTAAACATTTTCCGGACTACATTTGATACAGAACACTAAACTAACGAGACCGCAGTCATGGTTTCAGTCCATAGTTGTCGAGTAGTTGGACCATGATCGGTACGGTATAGGCGAGTTCTTATATCTATTCGTTCTTGCTCTCGGACAGTCTAGCATCTAGCTGTTTCTAGTACTACGACCAGTTATTTGTGATCAAAGAGCACAGACAACACAGACAGAGAGATGAGTCCCAGTTTACCTTTAAAGTTCGGTCGGATTCTAGCGTCGTACTTTTTCAGTAGATTGTCCAAGAACACACTTGGTGTCGGGCCCTCTTGTTTAGACGTATTCCTGTAGTCACAAAGTAGAAAGACATGATTAATTTAGGAGAATTAGTACTTTTTATTTTTTACGTACAAACAATACAATACATAATGGTAACGCACTCATGTGATATGGCTTATATTTATGTCACCACTAGACATTAAAATAAAAATCACAACACAACACAACACAACACAAGACAAGACAAAACAATATCAAATGGGTAACGTTTAGGTAACAAGAAACAGAGTCTTTGTAACAATATCTTTGTAATAATGAGTATTTGAGAGTTTACTCTAGATGAAAGTAAATTGTATTGTAGTGTATTGTATTTTTATGACTATTGTATGCTATTGTAGGAATTTGTATTTCATGTCAACAATTGTTCGACTTTGTAATTTGTATTATACTGTATTTATATTGTTGTGTTTGGGAGGACAACTTGTATAGGTGTCAATACCCCTGTTTTGTCCTCCCTTCCACTTGTATGTTTGTACTTGTGGTGAATTCTAATAAACAAATAAACAAAGTTAGTGTTGTATTTCAAGAGAGACCCAAACAATGGCTGTCAAATGAGCGAGACATATGAAGGAACGATGCACGTTGTTCTCAGGTCGAAGGTGCACTTAGAGCTCCATGTTGTTACAAATGAACGCGGCGGAAGATCATATTTCATTAGGCATTGCTTTCAAGGACACCCGAACTTGATTGCTTCAGCTCAGTACGTATAGAGTGCATGCAAATAACCTTTCCCACATATCCTAATGATAGCAAAAATTTAATGATGCGGTGTGTGCAGTTTTCTAGTATGATTGGTATGATGTCATGTGTTGATAATTGAAGCATAAAACATTAAAAACGCGTTGCTTTCTCTTTAAGATTATAAAAATTTACGATATCATCTGTGGTGTATATATCTCATCTTGTATCACACCTTTGGAATTTGTTTTTTCTTTAATAACCAGACCGTTGCTTGAACAAGCAACGCTTAAAGAACAATTGGCGCCCTCAGATCGTATTTTATTGGCGATGTTACCGTCCAGAGGAGACCGAGCCGTGAGAGGAGCCAGCCGACTGTGAAATGAACGTGAATGTGCCGGCGCTTTAGCGGAGAGAGGCACGCGGGATGACCGAATGGTAGGCGTGTATCTCTACTGGGGCCCAAAGGAGAACAACTATCGCTACCGTATTACCCACCAAAATTACCCTAATATCCTCGTAATACTGTATACAGAACGAGTTTGTAGTCCTGTAGCTAGATAACAATAGACAGGTCTGACGTGCTATTTGGGCCTGTTTTATTAATATTGCATCATACTCATACCTATAGACATTTGAAATGGTCATAGAATACATCGTTTCTTTACTATCGTTTGACTGAAATAATGATAGATTTTTACTGTCTCTTGTTTTCAGTCCTTGGCGAGGAGAGAATCGGCGAATCATAATTATAACTACCTTTATAGAATGGAATCTTTTCTTAAATGTTCCCATGCTGAGTTGTAGAATTTGTATTTCCATTAGTACATTGCAGACACTCTTCTTGAATGTGCAATTGGTGTATTGGGGGAACTGATACCTGGCCATTAACTGCAGGCAAGTCATCGATGGATCGGTAATCTCAAACGCCATCTCGACATCTGCGTACCCATGGGTGTATCGGGATGCGACATATTTTTTCTTTAGCGGTGACGACTTTTCACCTAACGGCACATATACACCAGTAATGACAATACGTTGTTGTATAGATCTGGTGTGTGTGTGTGTGATGTTGGTGGTGCGATCTATATTGGCCTACTTACCCCCGGATAGTCCGCGGGACCCAGAAGAGACAGACCAGCAGGAGAACGGCGTACGAACCCCGGGTCTGGTGCCCTGCCATGCTAGCGGTTCCAAACGTCCTGGTACGAGCAAGGCAGTTGTGAACAGCACTTCTTCTTCTTGTGGTTGTGGTATCCTGGCATTCGGGACGATCTGGTGGGGGCCGAGGCGACCAGAAACCCGCCTATCTGTCCGTTAGTATCCCCTCACTGCCGCGCACTTTGCCCTGAGGGTACGGCATAATGATAACAAATCAGAACACAAACAGAAGGCAATCCAACGGCTCTCTGTCCCTCTCGCTCTGTAGGTGAGTTTTTAGACACAAGGCGGAAGCTTCCTTCCACTCTCACCCCATACCGTCCGGTATCGATGCCGCTTCAGGCTTAAAGCGGGACCGATCTGCGCACTACTTCACCGTGATGTAATTTAAATACATTCCAGTACTCATGAATTTTCGCTCGGGCTCTCGTCATCTGACGGCCTGACTCCCCATTGGTGGGAGGGAACCATCGGAGGGTCCGGGGTCCCACCACGGCATAACGGTCTCCACAGGTCCAGAGACTTGATTATTTCTCACATTTATTTAGTACGTATTTTTATTCCGTATTGATTATTTATCACATTTATTTAGTACGTATTTTTAAGGATGCCAACAACATTTTTATTCTAAGGGAAAAATTTGATAACTTAAAACGTTGTGATAAGTAGTTTTTATTTTATTTATTTATTTCTGTATTCTTTAACCAGGGTAGCACTAACTCAGTGACGTAGCACTGCTTTACAGAGTGGCCCTGGGTACGACACATATATACACGGAAATACAACAATATATACACCAAACCAATATCATAAACGTGATCCATTACTCGTAATTATATACATATAATCGGGGTCATGCCAGGTCGTAAGGTAGTGTCAATTTTTTTAACCAAAGAAACATTATAGGGAAAAAAACGTACTAAATAAATGAGATAAAAAGCTATGTCTCAGGTCCAGCCTATAGCTAGTACCATTGTTGTATCATATTGACTTCCACATTATACAGCCCTTAGCCCACACCAATTTAATTTCTTGGTTAACCGAGTTTTCTAGAAAAATAATGGAGCGGGCGGGCGAAAAAATAAAAAATAAAAACAGGCCTAGGCATCCTATTATGGCCCAAAATGGTACGATAGGAGCCATGAAGTCAACACACCAGGCTGGTTCAAAATTTAAACAATGAATTTTGAACTTTTAATGATACCATTGCATTGAAAGATGGAATAACTGTAACAACTAGGATGACAAGGACTGTTTTCAACTGTTCATGCAAAATATGAGCATTTTGCAGTTGATTCTGATTTTTTTTTTCAAATTAGACAAAAATGAAGCGGGTGAATCCGTTAGCCAAGAAATTAAATTGGTGTGTCCTTATCTATTGTGACTATGAATTGCTCTCCGGTGGGCCTTGGATATTAAGTAGATAAATTCAAACAGACGTTTAAGACCATAAAACTCACAACGACGTGCAAACAAAATCCATCGCAATATACAAGGTACAACAAACGATATCATTTTGTATCACATGCACCAAAATAGCCTAGATCTGAGTAGAGACGTCAAATTACATGAAATCTGTTGATGTATACAAACAATATGGAATTAGAACACTACATGTAATTTTATTTTATTTTATTTATAAGGCTGTATAAAATGATACAGCCAGGGCTGCCCAACTAACCAGAGGCTATTTTAAAGGGCTGGTCCTAGTAATGGGACAGTATACAATAAAAAAAGATCTCCTTTAGTCTTTTAGAGATGAATATGGATAAGGCCACACCAAGTAAATTTTATGGATGACGTCCGCGCGCGCATTGATTTTGGCCTGTTCCTAGAAAAAAAAACAAGAAATTCCGCTTCCTGTAACTATGACCAAAGAGTCACGACAGTGCCGCAAATCGTCCGATTGACGTGAAACCCGTAACGCGAAATGGGTAAAGAGCACATGTGCCGCAAAACGATGGTGTACGTGCGCACAAGAGTCCGCGCGCCACAGTTCAAAGAAGCAAGATGGTGGGCTCACCACCCTTGGTCGCTAAGTATGTGAGCGTTAAGGTCGTAAAAGCGTGTGGAAACGTTGTTGTTGACTGGTACGTGCTCGATGTAGGCCAGGGAGAGCTAACTTTCGCGTAACTGTACGACAGACTTGTAGCGGCGAGTGAGTTTCGACCATACAATTTCAAGCAAGTTTTGTCAAGATCAGCTACAGTGCAAATTCTTCTGCAAAATTATGACGAGAAGGTCGGGAGGCATTTGATGTGGTGTTTCATCCGTATGGTGATCGACAAGACAGCTTCTACGACTGAAGCTGTTCCTAGGGCTAAGACTGCTTTTGAGGTATGAAAAGTCTGTTTTGAATCGAGTACCTTGTACGGAAAAAAACACGGGTGAAATATGACAAATATTCCTAGAAGGGGAGTATAAAATAAATGCATAACGTTACATGTATCAAGGCTCCTTGCATGTATTTTGCATGGATAATGATCGTTTATTCGTTTCTGGTTTAATATTTATACTTGATGTTGGCAAAATATGTGTTTTTTTATTCTTAAATTTTTGGTTCACATTTGGCAAGTAAATTGCTAATTTTCAGTCGGATTTTTAAGGTATTTTGGCATCTATAGCTACGCATTCAAGCTCAAA